TAAATTTCAAAATTAATCTTTAGCAAATAGCTAAGGTTCTAGAACAAGATGGTGAAGATTTAAATCCGGTATTTGCCTCTTAGCTATGTGATTTGGGAAAAATTATTTGATCAATCTAAACTTTGTTTTTTCATCTATAAAATGGGAAAAATGTTAGTTTGGGAAGGAAGGATTTAGCAGCTGATCTATAAACCATCTTTTATCCTCTAGGACAGACAGAAACCAGGGAAATAAATGGCCTCATCTATTCTCCACATAAACTTCCCGCACCAACCTCACTAGAGTGTTTATTAGCAGAACGATAAGGGAGAGTCCTTATATACGCAAGGCTTTCAGTGAGCTATACCTGGTCTACTTAGATTGGGAGGTATAGCTATGGGGCTAGCTTGCTGGAAAATGTCAGTGTCAGCTGAAAAAATTAACTGCCTATAAAATGCAGAAAATAGCTTCTTTCATGGAGGTGATGCATGCATGTCCTTTTTAGAGCTCTCATATGTTAAATCTGGACTACTCTGCATTGTAATATGGCAAAGAAGAATGGGGAGATGGCTTCACACACACACACACACACACACACGTACACACACGTACACACACGTACTCACACATACACACACGTAGACACACACATAGACATACACACACATACACATACACACACAGATTTGAAAATCTGACTGTGTTGGCTTATATTCACCCACTATTTTTGTGAAAATTAAAGCACTTAGAACAGGACCTGGAATAGAGTAAGTGCTCAATGAAGTTATTATCAGAGACTGGATTTGGGGACAGATGTGAATGTGCTAGGGAGACTCAAAGGTAGTGCCTAGAGGTAGATTCTTATGCTTTGTTGTAGAATGAAAAGAGCACAGATTTTTAATACTTGGATTCAAATCCTAGTTCCAACTCTTACTAGCTGTTTCTTATCAGGGCAGCCCCTAACCCCTCTGGACTTCAGTTTACTCATTTGTAGATGAGAGTGGTAATCCTAATTTGCAATTCCATCTTGCACAGCAGGGGTGATATATGTAAGGCAGCTGGCGCAGTGTCTAAGTGAAAGTTGATGCTCAAGAAAGGCCAGTGCCTGAATGCCACGATGAGTGGAAGCTGAGTGAGTGTGGTAAGGACCGGGCGAAGAACAGGACCAAGCCTGGGAAGCCCTAAGCCACTGCTTCTGGGTTTAACTGGTCACTTTAAGGGTGCCCTGTGGGTTCAGCACCTCCCAGTCCACACATTAAAGCTTAGTGCCTATCTGGCCCCTTCTATGTGAGTCATGATTAAACCACGTATGAATACATCCTGATAACCTTCTAAATCTCAGGCCAGGACTGGGCACTTTGGGGGAAGCTGGTGTTAAAGTGCCAACTCTGCATCCAGGGCTGGCCATGGAACCTGTTCTCACCACTAGAATATGTGTGGAGGAGGGGGTGTTACTCGGTCAGGGCTCTTAAAAAATTTCTGCACAGTCTCTTCTTTCTGCCTACTGGATGCAGTAGACCAGACACTCTCGAGGCTGGCAGAGCCACAACCCAGGAGGAAACTGGGTGCATGTGCTCATCTACCTGGGACACTAGCCATGGGTGGTTCTGTGAGCAAGAATGAATTTCTATTGTGTGAAGCCTCTGTCATTCAGAGACATACTTGTTAGGCAGCTAGCATTATACTGACTAATACATTCTGTTAAAGCGACTCAGAATTCAGAGTGCACATGTGAATCATTCAAGGTACCTGCTCAGGAACATGTTATTTAAAAAAAAAATTTTTTTAAACATGTTTTAAAGAGATGGGCTTTTTCTCCAGCACCCTGGCTGGAGTGCAATGGTGCCATCATAGCTCACTGTAGCCTAAAATTTCTGGGCTCAGGTGAGCCTCCCACCTCGGTCTCCTGAGTAGCTGAGATTACAGGTACATGCCACCACTACACCTGGCTAGAAACTTTTTTTTTTAATTACTGAAGTTTGAAGATACAAGACCATCTTTTGGGGGATTGGTGATTATGAAGCCGTTGGCCATCTGTGTAACAGTGCATTTGTTTAATGGAGGAAAGCGTGGGAGAATGTATGTGATAGCAGACAAACCCTTCAGTTTTGACTTTAAAGTTTTAAAAATCTGGTTCTCACCCAGCAATCCCATTACTGGGTATATACCCAAAGAAATAGAAATCGTTCTATTATACAGACACATGCATATGTTCATTGCAGCACTATTCACAATAGCAAAGACATGGAATCAACCCAAATGCCCGTCAATGACAGACTGGATAAAGAAAATGTGCTATATGTATATCATAGAATACTACGCAGCCGTAAGAAGGAACAAGATCATGTCCTTTGCAGGGACATGGATGGAGCTGGAAGCCATTATCCTCATCAAACTAATGCAGGAACAGAAAACCAAACACCGCTTGATCTCCCTCATAAGTGGAAGTTGAATAATGAGAATACATGGACACAGGAAGGGGAACAATACACACTGGGGCCTGTCTGGGTGGGGTGGATGGAGGGAGAGCGTCAGGAAGAATAGCTAATGCATGCTGGGCTTAATACCTTAACTGCTGTCGATAGGTACAGCAAACCATCATGGCAGATGTTTACCTCTGTAACAAACCTGTGAGTTTCACACATGTATCCTGGAACTTAAAAAAGAAACGTGTATCTCATTTAAAAAAATCTGGTTCTTTTTTATCTTCCCCCTGCTCTCCTCTCCCTCCAGGTTGGCACAGAGCAGGTGCTCGATAAAGGCTTGAAAAATTGATCTGAATGAAATTAAACCTTATTTTTGTTCTTTCTCTAAAAAGAATCTTGGTATTAGCTCGACTAATCCTTTTGCTCTGTACAATTGGCTAATGCTACCTTTATATTTTTGATACCATTAAGCCCCCACTGCCTCTTCATTAGAGCTCAGGGATACTGCAGGACAACGGGTCTTTTGTTTCCACTTCTCTCCTCCAAGGCTTTGTTTTGAAAAACCCTGCTGCCAGGGCAGGCTGCAGTGTTACAGTGCTCACAGAAGCACACATCTCCCCTTCCAGCCTTCTGCCCAGATATTTCATTCCCTCTCTAACAAGCACTCGTGGAGCCTTTACTGTGTCTTCAGCGCAGTTTAGGCTATCAGGATAAGATCATGAACCACACACCAGGTCCTTTCATGGAGCTTATTTCTAGCCTGGAGGAGACACACATTAAAGACAGACTGCAGCTCACAGGCCACATGCAGCCCACCGCCTGCTTTTGTAGATAAAGTTTTATTGGAACACAGCCATGCAGTCCATTCGTTTACTCATTACTGATGGCTGTGTCTGCACTACCATGGCAGAGGTAAGTACTTGTGATAGAGAATGCATGGCCTGTGAAGCAAAAGTATTTATACCTGGCCCTTTACAGAAAAATAGCTTCCCATGTCTGCATTAAACAAATGAGTATGCAGGAAACAGATGTGCCCCTGAGAACAATGCTATGATGGGTGATGAGACAGAGAGTAGGTGTGCATGTGTACGTGTGTATATGGTACACGTGTGTGTGCTGGTTTTAGAATAAGTGGCCAGGAGAGGCCTCACCGAGCAGCTGACATCTCAGAGGGGACTTCCACACCAGAGGCAAGCCCTCTGGGAGCGGAGACTGTCTGTCTGGTTTGCTTGCCCGTGTCTTGACGTTAGCGTAGGCCACAGGCTGGACACCTCCAGAGCAGTGATGTGAAGATGTGGATGTGAGCTGTGATGCAGACGACCTGGAGAACCAAACACATGTACTCCTTGTGGCCACTGTCAACTCCGACGTGTGCTGTGTGCTCATCCTGCCCATTTGCTGCCCTGCCTGGGAGATACCTTCTTTTTCCTGTAGCTGTTCTGACCACCCTTATTGCACCGTGTGTGTATGTGTGTGTCTGTGTGTGTGTGTCTGTGTGTCTGTCTGTGTGTGTGTGCTGTGTGCATGTATGTGCACCTGATGCTCTCCTCGACCATTCCATGGCCCACCTTGCCAACTTATCATAACACCCTGATATCCTGAATGGACACTTTCCATCCACCATGAATGTGATAGAACCTGGAATGTAATGCCCATGAGAATCAGCAATGTAAAGGGAGAAACAGAAGTTCAGTTCCCTTTGTTCCAATAGAAACTTAGTGTTGCTTTTATCAACTGAGAAACACAACCAAAGAAGAGACATGAACATCGTCCCATGGAGAGAATGCATGGCCGTGTCAGACCCTGCCCCGAGCCCACCTTCTCAGTCCAACCTTGGTCTCTGCTGGAGGCCCCTGCTGGATGTGGGTGCAGGGCTGGGGATGGTAGGATTCTCAGTTGCACTGCATCCTTGTCATTGTACAGATGGGGAAACTGAGGCTAACAAAGAGGAGAAGTCTTTCTTATTGACCCATGGCTAGGAAATAGATAGCAGAGCTAGAAGTGAGTCCTGGGTAAACTGATGCTGGGATACTGTAGCCGCACATTCACGCAGGTGCCATGTAAGCTGGTGGTTGGGGCCTGGGCCTGGCAGTCAGGCCATTCCACCTACTCACTCATGCAAGTCACCTTCCATCTCTCTCTTGTCTGGAACTGTCCTGAGCCTTACATGAGTTCACACAAGTCAAGTTCTTAGCCAAGTAAAACACAAAATCAATGATTAATATGTCTTAGACATGGCCATGATTATTGCCACATCTTTCACCCTAGACCGTGACTGCTCAGGCACAGACTATGACTTGGTTGACTTTGATTCATCACAAACCAGGGTCACCTCTGGCTCAGAGCCCACCAGTGTGAAGTGGGATGTCATCCTCCACTCATCGTCAGGTGAGCACATTGCTCACCTTCTGTGGGGGAGGCCATAGACAGTCAGCTACAATTAAATTAGGCCAAAGGGAAGGCAGCAGCCACACATCCCCAATCAGGCTTTGCTTCTTCTGGGCTCTGAGCTCCCCATCTGCATGAGGAGAGTCCTCCAGCTTGGTGATGCCATGAGCCCCTGGGCAGGGCAGTGAGGAGGGAGAGGCACCTTACCTGGCCCACTGCAGAAGGAGGCGATGATGGCCAGAATGCACACGATACTCAGATAAGGGATCCAGGGGGCACGGTCCTGGGAGAGAACAGGGAGTGGTCAGGTGAGGAGGTGATAGTGTATCCAGAGGACCGGAGTTTCCACCTCAGCTCCTCCTCCATCCATCTGTGTGACCTTGAACAGGTCACTTGATGTGCCCAAGCCCCAGTTTCAGCATCTATAACATGGCGACAATGGTAATCCTTCAGACATTCCATCCGCTTATTTTATAGCTGTGATGAAATCAGAGGAAGTCGGTGATGAGTTTTACATAGTCCTGGCATACAGGAAGTGGCAAATAAATGAATAACTCACATTGATTGAGTGCTTAGTTTGCAGCAGGCAATATGAGAAATTTTCACAGCTTTATCACATTTATAAAAGTTGTCTCAGTTCTTGCATTATTATACAAAAGACTGTTATTTGTACCTATGCCAACCTGCAAGGTGTGAGATGAGTTAATTCATTTCACGGAATGTGTCTAGAGAAGCTGTCACTCATCTGGGGGGTGGGCGGCTTGGTGCTGGGTGCAGAAGGATGTTTGGGGATCGCTCCTACTCTAGCAGCTGGATGGCTGAGCATGAGAACACAGCGTCACCAGTTCTGAGTGTGTGGGGTGCCTGGGTTCCCCAGGAGAGGCCAGCTGACCTCAAGGGAAGGTAAGAACCTGCGCTTATCTGTGTAGGCTGAGCCAGAGTCATCCCAGTGGGAAAGGAAAGGAAAGGAAAGGAAAGAGGTTCCAGGAGGGGGTTCAGCATACACAAGGACACAGAAGCCTGAGAGGGCACCATGCGGGGTTGAGCTGCAAACAGTCTGGAATGGAGGGCAAGGTGTAGAGAGGGCAGACAGAGGAATGGGGAACTTTTTCCTTCCCCTTGTTTTGTGTCCAAATCTATTAGCTGTAGGGGTTGAGAGGAGCTTCATGGACTCTTGTACAGTGTAAGCCTTGCTTCTGCACCAATCACTCACTCACTCATGCAGCTGATTGGTCTTAGCTGCCCCTGGGTGCCATGCACTGGGATGGGAGGTGGAAATGCAGATATGGTACAGGCATGACCCTTGCCCTACACCACACACTCACTGTCTATTCAGAGAGAGAGATGCGTCAACAGTGAAAGTCAATGGTCTGCGATAAGTGATCTCACAGCTTTCCCCCTTGGGGCTTATGGGAACACAGGAGAGGACACCTCACCCAGACTTGGAAGCAAGGGGAGGCTTCCTGCAGGAAGAGGTGTCCAGGAGTGTCCAAGTCTTCCTGAGTCCAGAAAGCAAGGAGAAGCTAGCCAAGCACAGGAAAGCCTTAGGAGAGGAAGCTGCCAGGCCCCCTGGGGAGCTGCCAGGGGCAGGGTGTGGGGCACTGCGGGAGACAAGTATGGGCCAAGCCAGGAACAGCGCCGAAACCTTGTGAAGTGAGGCTTAGATGGGGTTCGTGGGCTTCAGGCTTCGTTTATAAATTTCCGGCACAAGTTTCAGAAAGACAATGGCCTGGAACATTGCCCAGCTGGCTTCCTGAGAACTTCGGACAGTGAAGATGGCTGGGCCCCGGACAACTGGGGCCTGGCTGTCAGGAAGGAACTGCATCTGCAAGGCACATTGTCCCTGAAGGCAACGCTTCCACCTGCTGCGGGTCAGCGTGCTCGCCAGCCCCACCTCTTTGAAGGGCACCCATCAGATGCCACCATGATAATAGTGGCTTTTTCTAGAAACATTTGGACCACTAAGACATTTGACAGGTGATCAAAACATGCACCTATCAATTTCCAGGTGCATTTTTGAAAAATGCAAAGATTGATCAAATGCTGTAACCTTGTTTCACATTTCCCATGGCACCAAGATGAACTGGAGACACTGAGGCAGTGTTCAGTGCATCCCAGCCTGCCACCTTCTGGTGGTGTCGCCTGGGGCAGCTTATTTATTTACATTTATCCCTCAGTTTCCTTATCTCCATAAAAGAAAGAAATATCAATGCTGTAAGGATGAAGTACATCATCGCCCCTCCTCCTCCATCTACATCCGCTGAGTGCTTGTGCCTAGCGCTTTCTGTGTTTTCTCATTTCATCCCGCAACACCCCTGGAGGAATGGATGACTGTTCTGTAGAGATGAGGCCCTGAGAGGAGCTGACTTGCAGAAGTTTCACTACGAGTAAGCAAAGGCCAGAGTCCACACAGGCTGTCTCGCTCCAGAGCCACCATTTGTAAAATTTTGACAGCTGCGGAAGTGGCTGGTATACAGCATCTGGCACTCTTGCTGGGAGGTGACAGCTGGAAGGGGCATCTTAGGGCTATCTAGTGTAAGCTCTTCTATTCCATAGATGGGTGAACTGAGGCTCAGAGAGGGAAAGTGTCTTGCCCAAGATAACTCAGCTCATCAGCAGTAGTGACAGGACCAGAAGTCAGGTCTCTCATCTCCCAGTCCAAGGACCCCTCACCAAACCCTCTTCCCGAGGCCCCGAGCAGCCCCAGAGCTGAGATGCCCTAGGGAGAGCTTTATCACAAGCGTTGTCTGTAGAAGGATGAACCGACAAATCAAAGGCCCCAAAATCATGAAGCCAGAGGCCAGCTTCGTGCTTATGTCCCTCAAGTGTGACAAGCACATCCTCTCACCTGCAGGGTCAGTGTGATGGTGAGGGTCCCAAAGAAGAGGGCCATCAGCCCAAAGCCACCAATGAGAAGGGGTCTCCGTCCCAGACGCTCAATGACCAAGCCCTAGTCCAGGGTAAAAGAGAGAGAGAAAGCTATTATTCCATTTCTAGCCACAACCGGGGAACGTGGCACTGGGAACCAGCAATGGCATTGTGATTAAAAACTGCCTTCGATGCTAGACAGCTAGGCCACCATCTTCACGGCCACAGCCCTAGAAGCAATGGTCTTCATGAGAAAGGAAAAAGTGAGGGGGAGAAAGTCACAGTTCCTGAGCACCTGCAGTGTTAATATGAGCATCTTTCCTCCCAATCTTCCTTGCTAGGGTGGACTCCTCAAACGGAATTTGGGAGAAGGAACTGGATGGATATGGTCACCACAGCCCTTCTCCTCCTTCAGAGCCACCCTACATGGAAGGCAATTCCTCTGTGTCTCCATGTTGTGGGTTTCATAGGGGTAGGCACCCACAGCAGGGCACAGGAGTGGGAGTAGGCAGAGAAGCCCATGCTGTTTTCCACTCTGCATTTTTTGGGGGGAGTCAATTTCATTGTGGACGTGATGTGGGGAGTCCCCGGGGAAGTCCCTGAAGCTGTGTTCTCCAAGCCAGCTTCCCTCAGCTTAGGACTGTCACTGACCTCCACCTGGCTGGTCCCTGTCCACCTGGTCAGGAAACAGCTCCTCAACTGCCAATAACTGAAAGAGTAATTGTAGCCAAATGTCAGGGGTGAGTGACAGCTGCCTGTCTAAAGGGTACAGGTATTGATCGACTTAGGACCTATGCAACTTACGACCATTCGACTTTATGACCGCAATCGCTAGCCACGACTGCTCCGCTGTAGATTTTTGGAAACACTACAACATTTTGATGTGTATCAAGAATATCGCTACTGCCTGGTAGGCTGTGATGACAAAGTGCATGAATGGCATCTGGAAAAATTGTGTTAAGCGCTATGTTAATGACAGTGAACATGAACTTGAAATAATTCTGGAAAAAATAGTAAAGCTCGCTAAAGACCTTTCTTTGGAGTGTGAAATGGAAGATGTCGAAGGGTTGCTAGATAAAGAATCCGGAGAGCTTACAAATGAAGAGCTAATCGAACTGGAAGAAGAAAGAGTGGCGGAAGAAGAAAGAAGAGAAGCAGAGAAAGAAGAGGAGGAGCCAGAAAGAAAGTTCACCACTAAGGGATTATCAGACGGTTTATCTTTGCTGAATAAACTTCTTATACATTTCAAAGCAATGGACCCAAACATTGAACGATTTGCAAGGATTGAATGGATGGTGCACGATGTGTTTCATCCGTATCGTGAAATTTATGAAGAAAAAAAGAAACATACAATTCAGACAAAGCTCACCGTGTTTATGAAAAAACCAACTCCGGTAACCTCAACTGCTGCCTCAGATGATGACATCAACGATCCGCAGCCAAGCACCAGCGGCCAATAAAATGTTTCGTACATGTTTATATATTTTGATATGTTTTGCAATTGGGAAAATGTTTCCTATGGTATTTTTTACACCTGTATTTTGTATTTTTGTATGCACCTGTACTTTGTAATTTTGTATGTTTTGCAAATATTAAACCAGTTGTACTGTAATGCAGTGTTTTACTTAAACCTGACGAATGTAAAAATAAGAAACAAAATGGTGTAGAGATGATACAAATGGCATAAAATGAACAAAGAAAATTAGGATATATGACAATAATGAAAGAAAATTATGATAAAATATGACTTAAAGATTTTTATAACATCATTTCACAGTACTGTACATATAGCCTACTCAACTTACGACCAAATCGTGTTACGACCGGTCTGTCGGAATCAGTCGTGGTCCTAAGTCGAGCACTAGCTGTATAGCGCTGTGGTCCACTGAGCACCTGGCCACGTGGTGCTGCCTGGGACCTCGGACCTCTCAGTCACCTAGGCATGAACGTTGAGGGGACCGGTGGGCACCAGCCCAGAAAGTCAGAGGCCTGGGAGGTAAAAGTGCCTGGCTGATGACTACGTATCTCAAAAATCATCCAAGACTTCTGGTCAGGAATGCCTTTCTCCTGTTGCCTAGGGAAGAAGGGCAGACTCAAGCCTCTAAACTTGGCCTCCTGGAAACCGGGCCCAGTGGTATCCAGAGGCACATAAGCCTGAAGATGGGTGACCTGAGCTCAAGTCCCGGCTCTGCCACTTAGCCTTCTTTGCACCCAGGACAGGTTACTCAGCTTGTCCAGGCCTCAGGTTCCCCACCCGGAAAATGAGAATGATAATACCATCTTTGCAGGGGAGCTGTGAGATAAAGGGAAAGAACTCACAGTGTCTGAAATAGACACATGAACAAAAGAGGTTGCTAATAAACGGCACAAAGTATCTTATTGATTTTAACTAAGGAATGCCCTGGGGGGTCTGTCCCCAACCCGTACCTGTAGCTGGCTGTGTGGCCTTGAACAAGATAATTAACCCTTCCATGTATTAATTTCTCATCTTTTCTGATGTTAACAGAGTTAGTCTAGATATCAATAGCTAATGATCATTTACTGAGCACCTACTATGTGCCAGGCATTGTATTAAGCACTTTTCATGCACCAACCTGTTTAATCCTGACAATAACTTTGAGTAGGTTTTATTATTTGCTCCATTTTACAGGTTAAAAAAAAGCAAAGCAGAGGCTTTGGAAACTAGTGCAGGTCACATGGCTGGCAAGCAGCAAAGCTGGGGTCATCTATAAAATCTTTTCTGGTTGCAGAGAGGTTAAATTTTCTTGACATTAAACTAGAAATAGACAATGCCACCACTTGGTAACAGCCCAGTGTCCCACCTTCATGTCCAGCTCCTGGACCCAAAGAAGGAAGGGCACTGATCACTTTTGCGGCCCTCGGAGTTCCTGGCTCTCTGATTCTTTTTCTTCACTTGAAGGCCAGGCACCTTCATCTTTGCTTCCCCAGAGCCTAGAAGAATACCTGACAGGTGTGGTGTAAATGTTTACGGAGGGAGTCAATGTCTGTCTTATTTTATTTTATTTTATTTTTTTTGAGACGGAGACTTGCTCTGTACCCCAGGCTGGAGTGCAGTGACTTGATCTCAGCTTACTGCAACCTCCGCCTCCTGGGTTCAAGTGATTCTCCTGCTTCAGCCCCCTGAGTAGCTGTGATTATAGGCGTGCAACACCGTGTCTGGCTAATTTTTATATTTTTAGAAGAGACAGGGTTTCACCACGTTGGTCAGGCTGGTCTTGAACTCCTGACCTCCTGATTCACCTGCCTTGGCCTCCCAAAGTGCTAGGATTACAGGCGTGAGCCACCATGCCCAGCCTGTGTCTGTCTGTATAAGTAGGCAGAATGATTCTTATTTGCAGAGGAGGACAGTAAGGTTTGAGAAAGCTGAGGGACAGTAACTTCACGTGGTGGGAAGTGGGAAGGGAAGTCAGGCCAAGCAAGAGTCATGAAGGAAGCAAAGACCGGCAGCTTCTAAGAAAGAGAGAGGAAGGGAGAGAAGAAGAGAAAGAGGGAGAGAGAGACAGAAAGAGAGAGAGAGGCCTGCATTTAAAGTATCCCTTCCCTCTAGGCCCTCATGAGCTGGGCCTCATCAAAGGGGAGACACTGCTGGGGCTGCCGTGCCAGGAGCAGTGCAGCATGAGCGAGAGAGCTGGGTCCCAGTGCCAGGAGGGTCCCCTGGAAAAGTGATGGGAGAAAGGGCCCAGAGATATCAGGGGCTTAGAGAGATTATGAAATTATGGGCCCAGAGAGATTATGCTGATCTCTGTGTAACTCAAACTAATTTCAGTGTAACAATACAACACATGTCAATCTCAGTGTAACACATGTCAATCTCAGTCTAGCACTCTCAGTGATCTGGGCCCAGGATCAGAGGCCAAGAGTGATTATGGAATTTATCAAAAGTCACCCGGGGCTAGCTATTCAGAGAAGGAAGTGGGATAGATGCTGTTTCACACCGAGGTGCCGCTGTAAACCGTCCACACGCTTGGACTCAGTCACTCACCTGGGCATTTATCCTAAGGAAATAGATGTTTGGTAAGACGCATGGATGAGGATCTTCATTCATGTGTTATGTACACTAATGAGGAAATAAAAATAATCTAGAAATCCATCAACAATTCAATTAGTTAAATAAATACTGGAATATTTCAATAACAAATATGTAGAAATTAACATAATTTAAAAGAATTGTAAAATTACAGAAAAATTCTCAGGGTACAATCTTAGGTGAAAAGAGTATCTGTATTTACTAAAACATGTAGTTATATAACATAAAGTATGCTATTTTAAGCAAATACACCCTGGAAAAATACATGTGGAAATAGTTTATAATGGCTAACTCTGATTGGGGGAATATATGATTACTATTTTATTTGTCTGTCAGTTTTCATGATTTTCTATGGGGATTTTTGACTTAAAAACACCAAAAGGTAGATTTAGTTGAAGCATGTAGATGCAAGTCTCTGTCCCCTGTATTATGCCTTTATTCTTGCCTAACACCAAGTATTTCCAGTACCCATACTGGCAATTTTCCGTAACTACGTAAAGTATGTTTTTGGTACAATCTAAGGATGTTACAGCTTTTCTTGTGGCTAACAGGACAGAGCCCAAAGTTAAGCTGTCACTGTGAACGAAGGCTGTTCATAACTGTAACACACAGGAACTTTGTCTCCTAAGCTTCTTAGGGGAGTTGGATTAACGTATCCAGTGACCTGATGCTGAAATGACAACAGAGCGTGCCATGGAAGAGCATCACAGCTGCTGGGAAATATTGTCACACTGAGATCAGCACATGTTACATTGTTATAATGAGATTAATATGTGTTATACTGTTGTACTAAGATCAGCATGTGTTACATTGTTACACTGAAATTAACATATACGGTTACTGTCTTCAGTATTTTGAAGTTTTTTTTAAAGTTTCAAGTGCACCACCCACAAGTTCAGAGTCAGAAAGTGTGCTTACAGAAGTCAGTTGAGAACCATTTTCTTACACCATGACGCTGATGTTCAAGTGCTTTGGAAGGGGTTGGGTGAGGGGCATGTGGCTTTTTGTTTCATTTCCCTAGAGTCTCTTGATGA